GGACCCTGTTCAGTGTCTGCATGGAAATGCTTTATCTATCTTTTCATCTGGAGAAGAGAAGATGCAGCACTGCTGCAACCCATAGGGCACGATAGATAGGCCTGCTCATGCCATTAGGAGGAGAGCTCTGTATCAGTTTTCTAGAGCTGAGAACAGTTCTCAGCACAGCTGGAGTGCTTTGTTCTGAACTCTACAGCTGTCATGTCTACATTAGACCTGTTACACCACTGTATGCTAGAAAAGCAGATAAAGAGCAGCATAGTGTGAAGACTCCTTTCTCTTCTTGGGAAGTAGCCAACATCTGTGCTTTATTTTCTGTGCGCTCTGATTACCCTGGGAGAATGGTTGAGGTGTCCGTGTTGATTGTCAGCAAATTCCTCATTCCACTGTTTTGTTTTGGGTTTTTTGTTTGTTTGGGTGGGAAGGGGAATGGGGTGTTTTGGGTTTGTTGGGTTTTCTGGATGTTGTGGGTTTGGGGTTTGTTTTGGGGTTTTTTTGTTTTGTTTTTTTAAGACTGTTGTATGCCTACATTCCTTTGGAGTCCAAGTCATGGAAGATGGAGCTAGCCTGTGATGTAACTGAGTTTTCTTTGCTTTCCCTTTTTTTTTGAGGGGTAGCTGATGCAGAGCTTAAGGATGTTATGCTATCCCCACCTGTCCAAATTCATTATCTGTCATGGTACTAAACAGCTTTTGTCATTAGAACCTGCTCCTTTCTGCTTTTTATCAGCAACAGGAAAAGTTCTCTGATGTGTGATCCAGCAGTTAGGTTTCCCAGCTGTTTTTTTCTGCAGTGTTCTGCCATCTCATACCTCATTTTCCCTATCGTTCTCTAATCTTCCCATGGTCCCCAGCACAGATTGTACAGACAGCTAACAAATTCAAAAGTATGGTTGTCGTGAAGAGACTGAAGGCATTCAGGGAATTGAATAGCAGTAAATCCTAATCTGATACCAAGAAGGGTTTTGTACTGTGTTGTACTAGAGCAGACAATAACTGGCCTCTCTGAGAAATAAGCACCTCATCTCTCCTGCTCTCTGGAAGCTGTCTTTGTTCCTATTCTGGCCAAACAAAGAAATGTGGTACAGACTGTGGAAAAGTGGTGCTGCAGTTTTATCTGGAAAATTCACAGCCCTGCACCTAGATGCTTATGTAAATGTGGATTCTTAGAGATTCCTCACCCCTGTCTGTAGATATTTGGAATATGGAATAAATGTGTAACTTAGTTCCTGGCCTCTGATCCATTCTCATCAATCTTTCTTGGATTAATCTGACTGGAATTCTGCATGTAAAAAGAAGCCAAATCTGCTTCACGTTCTCTTGTCTTGCTTGTGGTGCAGTCGTGAGACAGTACAGATGTCTGTCATCTGCAGGCATGGAGAAAGTCACTGGTGTTTAGGCTATAAGAATTCCAGATCCAGGGAACTTTTCTTTTGCTTGTTCTGCAAAAAAGCCCAAATGGAGGCTGGGCATCAGTTTCCAAACAATGGTATTACCGGAATAATATAACTCGATTTGATGTGGTATTTGATACCTGGTTAAACAAGCCTGCGTAGCAAACCAATATAAACAGTACTGGATTTTGACCTGTAAAGTTCTCTTAAAATTTTGTGCAGTTTGAGTTTCCTTTTAAATGCTGTCGGCTGTTGCTATTTCTTAGTTCGCTCCTGCCATATCCGCTATTTGTTTGCTTAAAGTGCTCATTAAAATTTGAGGACAGGTTTTGTCTGAAGCTTTTGTTGGTATATACTGTATAATTAGGAAAGGAGAGATTCTGTAGCAGGTTTTTTTGCTGTGGCTTTGCTGTAAATGGAACATAGCAATTAATATTTATGAATCACTTGAAAGGATTAAAATGAAGAACTGAACTGCACCAAGAAACCTGGTGTGTCTGATTAGTATACCATTCAGCTTTCTCTTCCTCACCTGACTGGGAACAACAGACAAAACCAGGGAAGTTGGTGCTGTCAAGAAGAGCTTAGATCAGAGTTACCTTTTGCTGATCATATGCCTTGTATCTGGTATTTGTACTGGAAGTGTTATTTGAAAATTTCAAGTACAGATTATTTCTCAGTAGTTCAGTTTGCTGTTTCTTAAAGTACATTGAAAATCCAGCATGTAACATGAAGTGATTGTCTAAATGTTTTACTTCTGTGAGTTGCAAAATAGTATAAACATATTTTGCTCCTTTTCTCTTTATTCAAAGGCTGAAGATGCTGTTTTCCGGGAATTCTGTGAAGAAATTGGTATAGAAAATATTCGTGTGTATGATCAAGAACGTATGAGACAACAAGAGGAGATTGATAAGAGAAGGTGATTATTTGTAATTCAAATGTAAAGAAGTGGTTTGTCATAGACTGGGCACACTGCTAAATGAGTGACTTCATCACAGGAAGTACCATAAAAACCTAGAAGACTGTAAAAGGTTATATTGTCACTGCAAGGATTAGTTAGCAGTTGCACTGCTGTGGATTGGGTTTATTAGACAGTTATAGTCAGTGACATTTTGCAACAAACTTGAAAGGTAAAATTTACTATTTTGGTAGCACTATCGTTGAAAAATAAAGAACAATTTTCTAAAATCCACATTGAAAAATGGCTCTATCACAAGTTGAGGATGGCATGAAAGCTTGCTTACGTCTCAAAAATCTTAGAGAACTGGGTGTAAGATGCAGTGATTTGGTATAGGAACATACTATTAAGGAAAACAGGACCTTAATTTTCTCACAGGACCACAAATTTATACCTTAAAGAATGAGAATGTTGAAATAAACTATCTCCTTGTACTACAGGCATTTTCAGGCAGATGGTAGTTTGTGCATTTCCTGACAGTACAGAAAGTACATCTTTTCTACATGATTAGTGTGATGTAGCACTGAACTAGCTAGCACAATGTAGCTAGCACTGAACTCCCCTTTTCTTCTCAGCTGTCTCTTCAGCTGCTAAGAGACTGTCTGGTTTTCAGAAACTAGTCCAAATGTATGTTTTTGGCTAGGGCTGCAATGAAGTAGTAGTGCAGTGCACTTAGTTACAGTTAAAGCACCTGCCGGCTGAAGTGATTTGATCATTTATTTGTGTCTGCAAGAACTGAAGTCTCATGAAGTGTAGGAAGTGAGTAATAGAACAGTGAAAACAGGAGCTTTTTGCATGGTCCTACGCTACACTGCCTTGGCCTTGCTTGTGCCCTAACGTGCCATCATTAGTCCTGTAAGCCCATGCTATGATGACTTCTTGCCCAGGTCTAAGGAGCCTGGAGCTGGTGGTGTGCCTGAACCAGAGATGCAGCACTGGTAGTAACTGGGTTGGGAAGCTCTAAGCTCAGAAGCTCAGAGGCAGACAGTAACAGCTGAGAGAAGACCTCTGTAAACAGCTGCTTAGTTTTACTTCAGTCTTCTCTCACAGCAGCATGTGAAGAAGTTTCTGCCATTTTACCCCTATAAACAAGTACAGATCTCAACTGAGAGATGGTAAGCAAGGCTGAACATGGCTTTAAAAGCTCTGCTCTCATGCTTCTTAATTGCCATCTCCCAACTGAGACAGGTTCCTTTTAATACTCAGATAAACATACATGCCAGCTGACTAGGAGGCTTGCAGAGGCTGAGCAGGGAGCGCAGGCATTAGGTAAATACACAGCATTAGCGTAGCTTTTGCCGAGCTCCTATCTGCATCGTTTACAGACACCAAGATAATCGAGCTTTTAGTGTCACTTTCCATATTGAATGTGGCCGTACTGTTATCCTTATATTATATTTTTCAAACTATTACCACTGTATTTTTGTAACTTCCCGTATATCCACAGGATGTGGTGTAGTAGAATTGATGAGCCAAATGTATGCAAATTCTTGTGTTCACGTAGGAGATACAAAAATGCTATCTAAATAGTCAAAGTGAAAACATATCTTGTAATAACTTAAAATCACGGTTACTAGCCTGCTTTGTAAGTGTTGGTTTGAAATACTGTATTTTGACTAGACTGGAGTTTGAAAATCAGAAGACACGACTAAACGTTCAGCTGGAATATGTTCGTGATCATCTACAAAAATTAACAGACATAGTCAGCAAGTTGAGGGAAACCATTCGTAAAGACGAAGCTGAGATTGTCGGGCTACAGAAGGTAACTGTAAAATATATCTATCTGTTGGGGGCTCAGAGGAAAAAATGGATTGAATTAGAACTTTCAGTAAACATAGTTGACGCTGTTGAGTAATTGTAGAGCGTAATTCAGTGTTGACTTTGTAAATGTTAAAAAAAAATGGAGTTGCATTTTAACCTTGGAATAACCTGTCAGATTAGGGTACTTTTTAGTTATTAAAAACAAGCTTACTAAAAATTAAATTTTGGGTTACTGTATGTACACTGTGTTATTGTGTTTCGTTTATATGAAAAGGCAGCATATGACTACAGGTAAAGCTAGTAGCCTTAGGCTGAGGTTCTTCAGAAGATTTTATGAGTAAAAGTAAGCAGCTCTGGTGCTTTGCATCTTTAAGGTGCTTCACAGCCACTAATAGACTAAAAATAATTCTATGAAAACTAATTTAGATTTTTAGTTGTAGTAGTATGTATAGATTCCTCCTTCATAGTGTTCTTTATTTATAAGTAATTTCTTGGTTGTGTGAATGTTACTTGTTAAATAAACTATGCTTGTGGTGCACTGGAAAGTGAAAGAGAACAGATGTGTAATAGTGCTTTGAATAAACAAAAGTGAAATGTAAAACTGCCCCAAAGTGGGGAAAAAAAACCCCCACATGCGTCATTTGAATTCTGTATTTTAACGTCAGAAGACATGTATTTCTGATGCTGAGGAAAAACGATAGACCCTTGCTCAGTCATGCGCAGAAACATGTCTGACTTCACGCCTGTGTGCATAATTCTTCTGAAATCCGACTTCGAGCAAATTCAGGTATTTTTGTCCTGGAGAAGGACTGTTTGTGTTAAATTCTGGAGGTACCTTGTTCAGATACTGCAACAGCAGTGAGTCTTGATTGGGTTGCCATAATAGTCTTTTAAGGACCACGTCTCCATGCATGTAGCATTAGGTTTACTATATTCTAGCACCTAATTTCTAGCAATCTGGCACTGGTTTGGGTTGCATAGGGGAAGACTCTTCTAGAGTACCTCCACAGATTCTTTGTTCTCTGCAGATCGCCTCAGGATTTGTCTTTAACGAACAATACCCTTTAAAGGATTTCGGGTTACCTTAGCTGTTGCTAAATATGTTGTAGATGTACAGCAGATGGGAGCCTTCTTGCAGGCCTAAGGGACTAACTGAGGAAAAGGGAGTTATCCCACAGATCTTAGGTGTCCCACAATCCCTGGCTTGTTTGGTGGCTTTATAATTTAGTCCAGTACAGTCCCAAACCTGGAGCTGGCTGTGCCTGTGTGTACAAAACATCTGGATCTTCCTGTGTATAAGACAGGCTGTTTTCCCAGCACCTTTCAGATTTTATGCTGTAACACATTTGAAGGTATTGTAACAGGTTTAAACTTTTAACTTTTTCTTTCTGTATAATAAAGGTTCCGTTTCAATATTCTCAGTGAAAGGTTAAAAATGTAAATATTTCTATGCAGAATGAGGAAAAGCTTCTAAGAAACGTGAATGAAATTGTGGAGAAGCAGCAACATCTTAAGGACAGATTAAGTGCTCATAAGTCTGAGGTTACAAAAACCCAAAATGAAGTTGAAGAGTTCAGAAGGACGTTGTTAACTCTTAATAGGTAATTACTAATTGTACTCCTGTGAAAGTGATTAATGTGATAATATTTAGAAGAGTGTTAGTGATCAGATGTTTGCATTTCTCTTGTTCTGTTTTCTTGTGAAACATTCATTAGAGACATGGCAGTTTGCGTGTACACTATGCATTAGTTAAAAAGTGTTTCATATTCACTATCTGGTCCCTAAAAGTAGCGAGAACAAGGTAGTTTCATGAGAGCCATCCCATAAACTATATGGAACATTATCTTATCTACCTAGTGTTAGGTCTCACTGTGATTTCTGATAAATACATAGTGACTTCTGTTAAGTATGCATTTGTTTACAACTTCACTGGGAGGGGCATATTAAGTTCACTGTAAGTTTCATATTTTTGTTTGTGTTGCACAGTTGGTTTACTTAATGCGGATTTTTTTTTTGTTATTATTTCAGTGCTCTCATTTTCTCCAGTCCTTTCAAGTGTTGGATACTTAAACTAACACTAATTTTAGGTCACTATTTTGTCCTTGCTATTCTTTTTAAATCAGCTGTTCTGGGGACAGTTTATACTTCAGTTTTCTAATGCTTGCTTATTATTGATGTGTTTGAAGTCTCTTATTTGGGAAACTTCTTGATGTTGAAAAAACCCGATATGTTGGCACAGTATGGCTAGGTAAACTTGTGGAATTTTATATAAACTCAATAGATTGTAGGCCCTGCGATTCATTTTATAGTGTGTAATTTTAACAATATATAACTGTTATGTCTCTGCCTTATTTAGCAACTTAATGCTATCAAAGGAATTTGTTGCAAAGAATCAAGGTGTACTTCAAGTAGAGTAATGATAAATGATACTTGGTTAAATTTTAAAAGTGTCAGATCTCTGTACATGTTCAATAGAGCTGAGCAGAACAGAGTTTAGTTGTAGTTTGGAAAGGCGGATATTTGGACATATTGTAGTGTGAACTTGGCAATATACTGAAACTATGTCCGTGCTACTGACATTCACCCTGCGGTGGAGTTAATACAGAATAGCAGAGTGTTAGCTTGTGCCCTAGAACAGTGCATGGTTCCTAGCTCCCCCCACAATTTCATTTGGGAGAATGAAGGAGTTGGAAGAAGTTAAGTATCATTTTCCTTTATGTTTGATGGGGATTATAAAGGAAAAAGCCCCCTTTGTGCTTGGTAACTGTTTTTCATGCTGTATGGCTGTGGATGTTAATTGGCAGCAGTGCTTCTGCTCTTTAATTGTGTTGTGCCATTTCTGTATGTAGGGAAGCTACAAAATTACAAAAGGAAGCTACAGCTATAGAAACCTCTCTGGAGGAGAAGAGATTAAGGCGACATAATCTGCTTCTTGAATGCAAGGTGCAGGACTTGAAAATAAAGCTCCTCTCTGGATCACTGGATGACATCAGTGAAGTAGAGGTACTTGAAATGTTTACAGAAGATAAATATCACAGAGCAGCAATTATTTGGTCTTGAATTTAAAGATACTTCCAAGAGTGATTGTCATATATAGTAATGTTAAATACATTGTTGTCATGTGATCAGACCTCATCCATTCAAGAGAAGGATTTTTGTTTGGTTTTGTAGACAGAAATAGTGTTTGCAAGTATTTTTGCTTGTGCTTGAAATTTGAAATACATAAATATTTTGTAAATATTATGTAATTAATTACATAAAAAATACATAAAATTGCTGTGGTACAAGAAAATTGGTATGAAGGAGCAGTCCAGATACACAGATGTGAGAGGACACACAGGGGTCAATTCAGAAATGTAAATAAATACGGCACGTACATGGATTGAGATAATATTTGGTTAATCATCTGTAGTATAAATGCTGTCTAAAATCATCCTTTTGTCTTCAGTAAATGTAGGTATTCAGGGGAAGGCTAAAATAGAAATACTCTTGATCTCAGAGGATTGACCCTCATTATTTTTTCTTAGTCTTCCCTCTTTTTCCAGCATACCTTTTGTGAGGAGAAACTAATCATTCTCCACTGTTACGAAAGAGCTATGGGTTTTGAAGGACTTGCCCCAAGTCTGAATTTGGAAGGAGTCTTGCTGAACCCGTTCCTTAAAAGAGTACTTTTGCTGGGGGATAGGTATGAATGAGTGGGACAGAAGACAAAATGAAGGCAGTGAGGTAGGCAGTCTTTGAAGGACACATGAACTCCTAATCGTCAGAGTATGTAGGCAGCTCAGCTCTCCCTGATAATGAATAAGGAAGAGGTGAAACCAAGGAGGTGGGCAGTAGGAATAACAACTTGGATTCTGAACTAGTGGCACGGAGAAGACCAGTAAGATTTGGTTCTGGAAAACACTGTTGGGAAAGGGACTGATAAGGGCATGCAGCACATGTTTCGTTCAAGGGAGAGTGCTATTTGAAATCCAAGCCTACAATGTCCAGAAAATAATGTGCTTACGCTGTAGAAAATTGAAGCTGCTCATTTCTTCTGAGGCCAACTGAGTGAAAGAAATGCCTCGACTTACACACTTAGAGCCTTTCCTTGAAAGGCGATTGAATTATCATGGAAAGCAAATCTTTCCAGTCAGAAAATTTACCGTATGCACACTGTTCTGAATATATTATAAATGAATTGCTGCTGCTTTTATCTTTGCTTCAAATTAGCAGATGTTTTCAGCTTCATTTAAAAGGTGCGTTTTTAATGAGACTTGTCAAGATCTTTACTAACTGTTAACTCTGTTTTGGCTAGGGGAGGAGCTAAGGAATAAGTTGGCCTCATACCATGTTACCACTGTCTCATTTTATATCCTTTTAATGCATTGTTTTAGCAGTTTAAAAGTTAACCGTCATATTTCTCAACAAGGATGTCCCTCATATTTATAGCTAGGAACTGAAACAGAGGGCACTCAGACTACATCAAGTATCTATGAAAGGGAAGAGGCAATTCGGATAGACTACAGCAGCCTAGCAGAAGACCTGAAGGTAATTTTTTTTGTTGTTTGAAATTATTAGAGATTGATTTTTTTATTTTTTATTTAAAATATTATATTTGTTGCAATTATTTATTTTTCACCCTAGTCTTTAATTTAAACTTGCTAAAAGCACTGTTAAGTGTGTGTGTATTTTGATTTTGCAGTCATACATAGCACTAATGTATGGGATTTCTGGATAGGTCAATTTCCCATGTAACTAAATTTAGTTTAAAGCTTACTTAAACCATAAAAATAGAATGGAGAAATAGTACATATAATTCTGATTTTTCCTTCCTCCTTTACCTTCTGCCTTTAAGTTCCAACACTGTAGGTTATGACTCAAAACTCTAGAAGCCAGTGATTGGCTGCCAGGGGCGTTGTACCGCCTTCTCTCTGTAGTATTTTCAGAGATGGAGACTTACCATGCTTCCCTCTGCAGTTAGGTCATGTTTTCTCAGCAGGTTTTTCTAATTTTTTTTTTTCCTTTTTAGTCATAAGGAAAACAATTAAATGTCAAAGGCTAGGTACAGAGTAAGGGATGAACCTGTTGTCACTGGAACTGGTCTCAAAGAATTCATCAAGAACCTGTGTTCAAAGGTTTTCCTTACAAAACAAGTAGTGAAGCCAGCTAGCCCTCCTCCTGTGTTGTATTTTAACCTGGACTTTTAGGCTGAAGGCAATTTGTTGTCTATTTTTAAAGGTCTTGTGGAAGAATACTTAGGACTTAGTAAATTTATTCTGAGAACTAAGATTCTGAGTGGAGTTTTGTGTTTTCTTGTGCTTCCGGTTAGATCTATTAGATGAGTGGGGTACTTCTTCAGAAACCATGAGTGCTTGCTGTATATGTTGAAATGTCTTGGCCTAAAAGCAAATTTTACTGCTCTAGTATTTTAATTTTTTTTTCTTTAGGACCTAGAGTCTGATAAAGATATAAAGGATCAGCTGACCCAGATGCAGCAGGAAATAAAAGCTAAAGAGAGTACTTTAATGAAGACAGCTGCTCCAAACCTCAGAGCAGTAGAGAAATTACAGCTAGCTCGGGACAAGTTCCAAGAATCAATAGATGGTAACACTGAGTCTTTCATAGTAATGTCTTTTGTGACTGTGAGAATTTTCACCCCAGTTGAAATTCCTCTTTCTGGGGTTGGTCCTGCTTCTTTTTGATATTTTGATTTTTTTGCACTCAAGTGTCTATCCTCAGTTGTCTTTTTAATTACGTGTAAACAATTTATTAGCATCTACTTTACTCTGCAGTAGTCTTACTGAAATACAGTTCGAATGATTGGAAAGATACTGTGTTGGCCAAATGACATCACGAAGTACTTCTAGCTGTTTTCTAAATATTACTGACTTCAATCATAAGGTTCTTCAAATTTTTCTTAAATAATTGAAGGAACATATATATGTTGTCCAGAATTCGGACACAAGTATTACTGCAAAATTACTGGTGTCCTCAAAGAGCATTGCAGATGTTCACATATTAAGAAGCCCACGGAGTTCTGAAGCTGTTACAGGTAGATGCTGGTGCTGCTTAAGGCTACCCAGATTACAGAAGGAAATAAGAGAATTTTGTCCATTGCTCCAGACAAATGTGACATAGAGCATTGAATTCATTCCAACTTCTCATTTTTTTGAAATCTGGTAGGAAACTCATAGTATTGGTATGCTCCTTGTAGGTGCATTAGAAGTTTCTCTGCAATATTTTCCTTGGTGCTTGTTATGATACACAATATATGTTTGTTCTGTGTATTTGCTTAGAGGCTTACTATGGAGTAATTTCAGTAATTTTTTTCATAGCTTTTGAGACCAGCAGAAAGGAGGCCAGAACGTGCAAGCAAGAATTTGAACAGGTGAAAAAAAGGAGATACGAGCTTTTTAGTCGGTGCTTTGAGCATGCTTCCGTAGCTATTGATCAGATCTACAAGAAACTCTGCAGAAACAGTAGTGCTCAGGTGTGTCATGTTCTCGATGCTTGGCTTAAAAGGCCTACCTAATGCTTTGGTATCTAGACTGTGAGACCTTAGTGAAACTTTTCGTTTCCAAAGACAATTTCGGTCCTGAAGAAGAAAGTTACACAAATAATAAAGACTGTTGAATTTTAGGGTCAGAGGGGGAGTAGGTAATACACCAAAGCATGCTTGACTTTAGACAGAGAAATGTGACCTAAGGTGTTAACTAGATTGGGAACTACTCAGTTTGGGTTAGTTTTACTCTTTGTATTTAGCAGAGTTGTAAATTACCATGACACAAATGTGAAAGATATTGAAATACTTAATTTAAAAATAACATTGGTTTACAGATCTAGTGATACCAATGATAAGTAATTAAAAACATTTTATTAGTAGTATAGATAAAACTAAAAATCCTAAATAATTATTTTAGTGCTGGTGTTTTGTATGAGATTTTGAAGCTCCTTATACCTCACTTAAATATTTTAAAAAGATAGACTTGATGTGTTCGCAGCTTTTAAGAAACCTGTAGAAAAATTGTGTCATGATTGTACTAATCTTCACTAGTGTTCTAGTATTAATGCCAAAAGAAAAGAGGAAACTCGCAAATGCTTTGGTTACATCAAATTCTATAGATGCTTGAATGTTTAAAGGGCTCAGGTTTGAACTCTTGTCTGTGTTAAACTTCAGATTTTGTGTTTTCCCTCAGAGTCAGATACCTGGTGAACACCTTAAATATCTTTAAATATATCCTTTCTGCTTCTAGGATGGACAGGATAATAAAACATTTCTTTCTTTGTGATTAATGGGCACATATCTTCTGCCCTAGACTAAACATCAGGCAGGTCTTGACTTCCCATCACTCTGAAACAGCCAGTATTTCCAGATGCGTTGCCAAAAAAATAATTAGTTGGGTGCTTGCTTTCTGAGGTCCGTGATGCTGTGCCTTGATTTGAGCCATCATGGTAACCTGGTCAAGAGATTATCCTGTGATTAGCTGGGAAGCTAAAACTGCCCACTAGATACTTACATAGCAGCTGGGGGAAGCTGGTCTAATTGCATTAGAAGAGAAATGACTGCTCTGTGTGTGGCGATTGCTCTCGTTAGCTAAGGAGGGGGTTAGCTCTGAGTTTTGCCGTCAGAGGAGGTGGCTGAGGTTGCAGCTTGAACAGATGCCTTTTAAGCAACTTTAAAAAACTTTAACATGCAAATTTCTTAATATTAAAGTTAACGTTTCTTAATATTTTTATATTTCTTAATAATGCTTTACTATCCAGTCCAAAAAAGAGAACCTTTGATGGATGTAGTTTAACTGCCAGAGCTTCTGGACTCAGAACATTCGTGCACTGAGTATATTGCTCAGTAAAATTTAGTTCATCAGCACATCGTGTGTAAAAGTACTTTAAAAGAAACTACTAAAAGAAATTCTAGACACAGATTCACTGCTGGCTTCAACACCAGTTCTCTTTCATTCTTCTTTTGCGGAGAGAGAAACATTGTTCTTTTTGTATCTTGATGAGCAAGGCGTGTATGTACCCCAGTACAACACAGCATCATTTGTGCTAACAGTGTCCACACATCTGAAAACGTGCTCTTGCAGAGTTGTATGCGGTGGCACGGAACTGGGAGTTACATTGCAAGGTACTGACACGCTTACAGCCTGAAAAACATTGTAGTAACAACGACAGGCATTCTCTCCGCAGAGAAAACGAGAAGGATACCGCAAGCACTCTATCTTACTTCCAGGACTGTTTACCGCAGAGATTATTTTAAATCAAGTACATGTAATGTTTTGTTTTCTTTTTCTTCAACTGTATCTGTGATCCGAGAAGAGCCATTTGAAATGAGTGTGAACTAGGGAAATTTTTCATTTTTTCTGTATCCTCTTGTGTGGAGGACTTTCTTCACAAAAAGTGTAATTTTGGAAGTATACTTACTTCCGAACAAAAAAGAAAACTGCTTTTGAAGTCTAAAATTTTAATAATAATAATAATAAAAATTAAAGCCATTAGATAAAATGTGATAAAATCAAGTTTATTTAGTAATTGAAAGTTTGTAAATAACAAATATGCGCAGCAATTTCCAAAATGGTTTTGTTAATTAGCCTCCTGGCTCATGGTTCTTTAACAAAGGCATATTCAATGGGAAATTTTACAGTGCTACTCTTCAGTATAGGTGAACAAAGGTAGCTTCCTTACCAGTTTCTACACTAGCTCAGTCAGTATTTAAACCTAAAAAATATCCATCTTAATTCTTAAAATGCCACTACTGATAATGAAATGTATGCATTTCCAGGCATTCCTTAGTCCCGAAAATCCTGAGGAGCCTTACCTGGAAGGCATTGGTTTTAACTGCGTGGCTCCGGGAAAGCGCTTTATGCCAATGGACTGTTTGTCCGGAGGTGAAAAATCTGTGGCAGCTCTGGCTCTTGTGTTTGCTATACACAGGTAAAAGAAATACTATGGCATTATCTGAGTATGTGGCTGAATAAGTGGCAGGAAGATAGATACTGAGAAACGTGTTTAAAAAAATCTGCTAATACAGTATCCAGACATTACTGAAGTCCTTATTCTTTACTTGTCGATACTTCTTGTCAAAATTTTATGATAGAGTTAATGAATCTCTAAAGTAATTAGAATGTTTATTAACATTTTTGCATCTAAATGCAAAATACTCTCTTCTCTTCCACAGTTTTCGGCCAGCACCTTTTTTTATTTTAGATGAGATAGATGCTGCCCTGGATAACACAAACATTGATAAAGTAAGTTGGTTCCTTTCACCTTATCCTTTTATCAGCAATATAATGATGTCTCTTGTAGAAGGATGGCTACTTTTAATTAATTAACAGGCTGTTGGGACAAAGAGGTTGATTACACTGTCTTAACCTGTTTTAAAATATATTTGTTTAGGACTGAAATAATGGTTGTATGAGATGTTAGGCTAAGGCTAGGTTTAAATTCATAAATCTTGTTCTAATCAGTCCCCAAACTGTGAAGTTGAGAAAAACAGGTCAGAAGTGTGAAAGCATGCCACATGACAACGTGTGGCACAATCTGACATGACGGTCACTTGTGAATTGCTGGCTGGGTTGGGTTGGTTTGAATTTTTAAAGGCCTTTGAGTTCATTACACTCCTTTCTACTACTTAGAGGTAATCTGCATGTTGAAAATCAAAAGTCATTCTGTCACTGGAGTATTTATTGACCTACTAAATGTTTTTGCATTAACACCAATTAAGGGCTGCAACTCCATCGTTGCAGTCGCATTGAATTCTTGCTCGATTATAATAGCTTCCTGTTCTCCTCTCAGTTTCTCTTCATGTTTTTGCTAATAACTGTTGACTGTAACAAAAACTCGTGATAGAATACAAACAGTAAAGATTGCCAACTGTAGAGGTCAGCCTCTGGGAGGAGGGGATCAATGCAAGGAAACTGTATGCGGGAGAGGAATCAAAGATCTCTGCATGTGCCTGCATTTTTTTCTGTGGAAACATTCCTTTCCATGTAAAGTAAGATCAAGCTATATTTCTACTTGCATTGATAACAGTTAAAGATCACGTATTTTGGTTAAATAACCAGTATTGTGTTTTGGATGTTATTCCTAATTCTGGAGTCAAACGTGCCATGGCTGATGACTTAAGATTTATGCAGGCTGCCTCCCAAGTTTTCCTTCACTGTCTTTCTTCACTGTCCGCTATTACACTAGTTAGTGCTAAATTTCACGGTTTTGCCTTTCATCAAAGCTGTAGCGTATTAGGTGATTAGTACTTCCTTTCTCTTCAGCCTTCAGAGGTGGGCTTTTGGATATGAATGTAAAATTCTCCATGGTTCTGTCTGGAGCTGGACAGGGGTCCCAAATCATGCCTAACAGAATTGCACCTCATTGCCTGGATGACCTTAGTTTATCCATATAAGTTCCTGTTGCAGTTGTAGATGCACCAGTCGTCAATTACGTAACATTCAATGAAGTTCACGGTGTCTAGTATGGGATCAACTTTCTGAGGAGACTACAAATAATGCATTAACACAGCTGACGAGAGAAAAAGTAAGGAGGCACTTTGGCTGCACTTTGCCTTCCCGAGTAGGCTCATTCTGACACGCTTGGCAGAAGAGATGTCCACTTCATACCTACGAATATGCCAAGCACCATTCTTCTTCAGAACGCTACAAACAAAGGATACCTGATTTTTCTCTTACGCAGCTGGGTTTCTCAATGCAAACGTATTTCAAATCTGGTTTACTTTTCTTCAGGTAAAAGCACATTTGTAGCCCACAAGAGACAGTCATATTAACAGTTGTTAGCCAAGTGGTTCCTAGGCTTACAACTTACACTTTCAAACTGTAAAAATGTTATTTCATTTGATGCACCAGCAACAATAACGTATGTTTTTAAAACGTGTATTCAAGAAAACAAAGAACATTAACGCAGAAAGTTTTATTTACTGTAAGTTCTGGTTGAATGTATTGATAAAAATAACATCCATAAATACCACTTTATGGCCAAAGAGCTATTAAACTTTGACATTACACATTAGGATTAACCCTGTAATTGCCTTAGTAGTCTACATTAAGCCTTTAGTTGGGTCCTTGGGGCCCATCTAATCTGACTGGGAAGTTACACAGAGCTTCCTGCTTTGAAGTGGAATCGGGCTTCTGCCCATTCTGTAACCTTCACGGCTGGAGATGCCATCTCCCGTCAGGCTGGGGCACGCCGGCTGCACAGCCCCTGCCCACCACATCCCCCCGCTTGCCTTGCTGCCCGCCCGCAGTCCTCCTGCCTGCAGCTCCCGTAACGACATGCGGCATGGAGGGGCTGGGGCAGGATTGCTAAAAGGTGTGTACATGGTATAAAAGGTATGTAAGCATATTGCCTCGTGTGCTTGGAGAGCAGCTGCCTATGGAGCGCAGGAGGAGGGTGACAAAATAGTGGTTTCCTAGAAAATTCTTTTTATTGGCTTTGAGATCTATCCAGGTTTTGTTATAAGGAGAAGTTAATTCTTTAAGCATGTGCGAAAAGTGTCTTAAATTGCAGAATGGGCAAAAGCAAAATTGCAGTGATCTGTAAGTATAACTAACTTAATGTTTCCCTGCTCCCAGGGTCACTCCTATCTCTTTCCTTGTCTGTAAGATGCAGTGGTAATTGGAAAGCACCAGAACTTTCAGGCAGAGGAATTAAATAGTGCAAGTGAGCAAAAATGATACATGGAAAAGCATTGTTGCTAGTACTCGCTGGTATCCAGGGTTTATGCTTAGAACCAAGTCTTTTTCTTTCCATTTCTTTCGGTTTAAGGATTTACTAAAGCAGATCTCAAATAATTTACTTGTAATTATACCACAAAATAAAGGCAGTTCTTCCTTTGAAAAAATTACTTCCCTATCACATAGATATAACTGTGCAGACAAAAGTCTCATTAAAAATGTACTGGTTGCTCTTTATTCAGCATTTAATTTATATTGTGGGGTGCTGCCTTACTCAGCCACCAATTTACAACTTAATATTTGTACCTTGATTTTGCAGATCATTGAAGAAAATGTTGCTATTTGCAGTGAACTCATATGTATTTAAAATCTTAGTATACAGCCAGTCACAACCTCTTCATACTTTTTTCCCCTTATTCAGGAATTTCCACTTTCCTTTCTAGTTACATGAAGTAAAATATTTTTTGTTGGCACTGGCCTTTTTCTATAACTTTATTCATTGGAGTGACTGATGATTTTCTTATGTGTTTTCATAAAGCAGCAAATCTGAGGGATCATCTTAAGACCCATTCTATTACTTATTTTATCCTGCTTATTTTATAACTGAATTACTGAATTCTGCAGCTAATGCGTTCACTTCTTTCCTTCTCATTCCCTAATTATAGTATAGCGTAAGTCTGCCAGAACTAACTTATTAAAATATTTGGCTTCTTTCCAAAGGTATCAAGTTTCATTAGAGAACAGGCACACCAGCAATTGCAAATGATAGTCATTTCTCTAAAGGAAGAGTTTTATTCCAGAGCAGATGCATTGATTGGAGTGTGTCCAGAGGTAACAATTACTTATTACCAGATTTTGTTAAATAATAGACACTGGGTTTTGTTGAAGTACTATTTGCACCCTAAGTGTTACTACAGTGGATCGTATCCGTAATTGTGTTGCTGGATTTGAACACCTTTGTGTTCAGAAGTAAGGGCAGGTGCTGGTCCCGTGAAAAGATCACTTTGGTGACTCAAGCTCATTACTGTATCTCTCAGTCACTTCTGAAATGCTTATTTCAAATAACAGAATTGTTTTCTATTGTGTGATCCTTCCTCTTCTCAGCACGATGACTTTATGTTCAGTCGAGTACTGACTTTGGACCTTACCGAGTATCCAGACGTCGATGACCAGGAAAGAACAGAGAAGCACAAACGCAATTCTGCGTCAGAATAAAGCATGGATGATTTGGGGCCAGGTGACAACAGCAACAACTGCGTTTACAGCTGACCTGCAAATCTGAGTTTGAATGTGTCTGCCAGAGGTTGATAGAGGAATGTTTACCTTTCAGACAAAGCCGTTTTCTACAGTATTGCAGGTTATTCACTGACACGGTTCTGTTAACGAGGTAGCCAGAGGTTGTCACTGAAGTGCGTACATTGCGGTTCGCAAAGCTTTCTCTTCAAGTGTTTCGGGGGTCGGTTGCTTTAAGATGAAAGATTACAGGTTCATGTAAGCACACTGTTACAAAGAATAAGCCTTTTCTTTGCTTTTCTTACGAAAAGTAATGTGTTAAGCTGTAACTCCAGGGCGCTGTTGGTGCTACCGCTGGTCAAGACCTTTACCACTTCTCTCTTTTATGTTGCAGCTGCATCTGTTTGCCTTCAGATAGGATTCTTTCCTGGTTTTGAAAACAACAAAATACTGGAATCTGCCCATTATCTTACGTGACTCTTGTGAGACCCAGTAAGACTTAAGTCTTCCACCTTATGAAAATACTAGTTAACTTTACAAAAGCTCATGATCTCTATCTACAGGTGTGATGTAACCTAGAAAAACTTCACCTTTGAGGTATGCTACTGTGCATAGAAGTGGAAAGAATAAAACAAGTATGAGTCAGATGCTATACAGGCAGCAGCCATAAAAAAAAGGCAAATCGCTTTGCAGTTGAGATTGTTACTATGTAGCTGTCCTGGTAAAGTGCGGTTTATTTTGCTGGCCATGCTTCATCTAAGAAGCAGAGTTACGATGTTGGTTACCGAATGCTGTTTGAGAGAGTTTGAGTCGCTTGATCTGGGTTATGTTTCACCTCAGTGTATGCTGAAGAGCTTTATTGTCTTATGGTGGTTCATAGTTGTTACATCTTCTCATGTTTGCTTAGTAGCCTCCTTTCACCCCCTGTGCTGCTTATGCAGGTCTGCCTTGTGACGTGTTGCTGGCACTTGTTGCCCGCAACTGATGATGGCTGGACACATCACGTTACCGCGTAAGGAAGGACTGACACGTAAGCAGTAGATAATGTGTTCCTGGGGGAACATTTCAAGGGCATAAACATGTCCACTTATACTGTGGACACGTGTTTATCAAATACTTATGTTGCTGCCACACTTTATTAAATAAAACTATTTACTGTATGTCATGATTTAGCATCAGTCCCTTAATTCCAAATCCACTGACAGATGTGGAAATTCTTAAGCAGGGTGAAGGGTCAACAGAAGAGCAGCCTCTAGATATTTTCAAAGATCTTTGATCCACAAATTGCAAATACAGAAGTTTTGGGTTGGTCTGTGGTTTTTTTAACCAGTGGCTAGGAACAGTTGGTTAAAATAGAAAAATACAGTAAAGAATTGAACAGCTTTAAGAATGATAAAAGCTACACCTTTCAGCTACTCTGCAAGAATGATCTATTTAGCTTTTAATAAAATACATAAAGAGTGTATGCCATCATCAGAGGTGTCTTACCAACTTCCTTACACAGCTTGAGTAAAACAGGGTAATAAATGGTCAACAAGTTTGTTTCCAGTAAACCTCTTACTCTCATTTAAAAAAAAAAAATTAGAAAAAGTGAGCTACAGTAGAATCATCAACCATCATTTAACCTGCTCAGCTGTAGGGTTAGTTCTTTCATGGGCTGGTGCTCATTTGAACAGGGCCTTAAATGGAACGGACAAGGTTCATGTTCTGTCCCTTGTGCCTGTACTTCCAAGCCCTGAGGTAGCTGCAAGGTACCCCCATCCCCAAGATGACTAAAATATATTCTTCAATTGTGGGGGGATACACTCCCTTCTTATTGGGTATGTTAGGAATTAAAATAACCCCCCTTACTTACCTGCTTTTCAGGAAACAGCTAAATGGCACTTGGGTCAGGGGAGGCTGTTGTACAAGCTGCAGCTCAGCAGTACCTACAACAGGGAAGAATCCCCGATGCTAGGTGTAAGTTGGTCCTGACCAAAGGGAGGGGAGGCCATTTCCTAACGTGGATCTGATTTCAGGCACGAGATAGGGGGTTACCTGACTTTAGGGTTGGGCTTAAGTAATTGCAGTACTCAGGGTCATAAATAGCTCAGCTTATCTGATCAGTTTTGCTCAGCTTGAAGCAATGATTTTAAGTGTTCTAAGCTGATACATCAGCATCCAAAATAGCATGACTGATTGCTTTTCAAAACAGCCATTTCATGTTGACCAGATGCAAATTTTAGAGGTTTCTGGGGTAGGAGAGACAAGAGTCAGTGCACATGCATTAAGATTGCTTTTCTAGGCAAAACGTCTTCAGATCTTCACCTACTTCAGAACAGGGACAAAGACTTCCACCCCACAAAACCGCTTACCCATCTCTGTAGTTACTAGTCTAGAAAGAAGCATGGACCTCATTTTGCACACATGCATACTGGAGAACAACCAGAAATTGGTTTTAGTGACATGGGAGTAAAGAGCTGACATACTGCAATTTGGACAGCAAGGTCATCTGACAGACCCATCACTTCCACTCCCTCTAAAACCTCTTTACAGTGCAATGTGATCTCAGAAAGCACAACAAGACCAAATTCCCAGGGCACATAAGCAGAGAAACCTGACTGAAGCAACCACCCAGGACTGCCAGAAAGAGCGTGCCAGTACCAGAACAAGGAATGGTCCTGAACATGCTCTCCTGCGGACACCGAGGTCAGAGGCAGCTGACTAGAAAGTTTCAGATGAGTACCAGGGTTAGCAACGGGACCAGTAATTATGTCAGTGTAGTGTCGAGACAAGTCAGTGGTGCATGAAGCAGCACCACCTCAGAAGAAAAGTTAAGGCCGTGCCTAACCTCAGTGACTGCAGTAGTTCAAGTGAAGTCACACTTACACACTAGAACTTGTCTACAGATACATAGTTGGATACTAACTGGTTTTAATTCTGCTGCACTAAGACTATCCATTATCTGCTTTCTGACATAACTGGTGGCATATTCTATGATTTAAGCAACCAGTTTTCAAATGTTTCCATAGAAATACACTACAGATAGGTCAGTAAGCCCCCACGTACATACAGCATTTCCTTGCCGATGCATTACTGTTTCATCCTTTTCTCCCCCTGTGATCTTACACCTTAACAGACTGACAATGAAACCAAACACTCCTGCTAATAATAGGCAGGTTATTGTGACGCAGGTTCTATAAACGTGAAACAACAATTCCCATTCCTCCCAGCTTAGGGAGCTGAAGCTTGCAAGCAGCCATGTGCTGACAGACCCCCAAAAAGTTCAGCTGGTGAGAAGGGAGACGAGCGAACCCTTCATTTTAAAGGCAACTAACAGAAAGTCACAGGTGTGGCAAAAGTCATTTCTGACAGACTCAAACATAACCTCTGTTGCGGTTGCACCTGGGTAAGAGCTTGGTCCAACCGGTTTGAAGCACGGGCAGAGAAAACTCACACCTGCTGCTAAATGACCCTGCAGGTACAGCGTGGGTGGTACGGAAGTGCCGGCAGAGTGACTAGCAGGACTCTCCAGCTTTATACACATTACACATTTACAGCTCTAGAAAAGGAAAAGGCTAAGACACACAGGTTTTATTCCACTTAAAACCATGGAAATACTCAGCTCAAAGCTTCCCATGCAGCAGATGTAAAACATCTACTGTTAAAAAGCTTCTGGGTTGCAGTTTGGTTTGGTTATTTCTCATTAAATAGTGGGTATCCCGTTATCTGACTGATTGATTCTCTTAGGAGAGTCGGTGCCATTTTCTCCTAACTTCCTCTTAGCACAGTCCACACATGAAGTTCCTGTGGAGGGAGAGGGGAGGGGGAAAAAAAAAAAAGTATTTTAATGTTGCTACATGCATGTGCTTTGTGTACTTACTGCAAGCTCCACACACCAAGATAAACGCAATACTGGTCCACTGAGGCTCTTGTATTTGGATTCTGAGTTATAACCCTCACCCTACTGAAAGTCTGCACCGGTTCAGTGATCCCGAGCTCCTCCCCTACACCGAGTTCTGGCACTAGCACATAAAGCAGGAAGCAGGTAATTGCACAGCTGCCTTTTGAAGAAAATACTGTGTGATAATGCTGGTGGAGTTCACAGGTGAGAAGCTTCTTTAAAAGGTTTCGATCCCTTATTCAGAGGAAAAAAATTCTTGGTGTGAGCTACTGTTCAAAGTATGAAGAGCACAGCTGCACAGTGAAAATGAAGGGAAGGGGCACTCCTTCAAAATCAGCACAACCATCACTGAAAACCAGACAGATTTTTTTAAGATTTTTTTTTTTTCAGGGTATTATGCAGATCTGTGTTAAGCAGTAAATTTTTTATTTTTTACTTGCTATGTATTCCAAAATACAAGTAAATGACTAGGCAGAAAGAAAATAACAATGTAAAAAGAGATCTGTTAAAGCAGACTTTCAGAGCTAAGTGAGAGCACTGCACACTAATCATTAAATAACTTTGTACATAACAGACATTTTTATCTCTCTATCAGATAGGGAACTTTCTGTGAAAATAAGAACATTACTTACCCAGCGGTGTTGTGCTGTCCACTCGATCGGCATCTAGAGAAGTGTAAGAAACAGCAACACGTTAGCATACAAAAAGTTTTTATACTTTTATGCAATATCCCAAAACAGCACAGTTGTAATTTAGAATCACAGAACAGTTTGGGCTGGAAGGG